TGAAGACTGAGACGGTACCAGTAGTACTTGGAGCTCTGGGCTTCGTGAGAAAAGCATTGAAAAGTTTTACTAACATATATTTATTAACATTTATTGTTAAATATAACAGACAATGAATGTCTATTATGTTTGATCATGAGCCGTTCTAAGCTTCGTATATTTGCCGTAATTCCGGTGAAAATAAAGACAATAATTGTCCAACATTTGTACGTATATTTACTAACATGTTACTTGATGTAAGGTTTCGGCTCGCATGAGCCATCTTCGGAGTGGTTATGTTTGTTTGTTTATTGCTTAAAAATAATATAGCGTTCAGCAGTATTTAATAAAAGTCAAACGTTAAGAGATCATTTGATAAAAATAGCCTGAGGAAATCAAGGTAGCAGATTCAACTGACTTCCTGATTATATATATATATATATATATATATATATATATATATATATATATATATATTGGGGTCCACCCCTTTTTCATACAAGTGGACTCGACCAGTGTGTACTTGGGCTGCTGTCGTTAAATACCCAGAGTCAATCAGAGTAGAGAGAGCAGAGATTGTGATTGAGTTGGAGGTAGAGTAACAGTGTGAGGTAACCACTTGTAGAAGTCACAGTTACAAGCACGTAGACTCTAAGGAAGTCCTACTTCGAGACTGGATTTACCAGATATATATATATATATATATATATATATATATATATATATATTATTATTATTGCTACTAATCGTGTTTCTGGATCTACTAACTGTATTACAAATTGTATTATTGTGTAAATATATTTATTTGTTATATTTCATTCCGTCGTTTGTCATTCATTGGAGACCAAATTTCATCTCGGAATCCCGGAATCCAACATATATATATATATATATATATATATATATATATATATATATATATATATATATAAAGACGAGTCTGTTTCATACTATATGCAATCGTCAGGACCTGATGATTGCATATAGCATGAAACAGACTGTCGCCTCTAAGTGTTGACTTTATGTTCACTTTTTTATATTTACACACGCTCTATCTCTGATATCGAGCACTTTATCCCATAAATATAGCAGACCTTAATACTATATTTCTCTATATATATATATATATATATATATATATATATATATATATATATATATTGGCTCGTATTTACGATTCCAATGGAATAAATTATGACCATGGATTATTAGTGTTTGCTTTTTTTATTATTAATGTTATATATATATATATATATATATATATATATATATATATATATATTGAACACAGGTACACATCAATTGCTCCAGACCAGCTGCCATCTTCAGTTGAGCGCCGTGCATCAGCAAAGTTTCGGTCCATTAAGCTAGTACCTCTACACACGATGGGACCGCAACAGATGGATCATGTTACGTTGCAACCGGTCTATCTTGTTATTTGGACGCGACTCGTTACGAATATTTGGGTTATCCATGGACTGCCTTCCCCCGCTTTCACGCCACAAGCCTTTATTACCTTATTCAGCTTTTGAATACCAGCACACTTGATGAATCTCTTTAAGGAAACAGCAAGAAATCCTCTACAGGGTGCAGTCGTATCCCCTCTCACGGACTTTAGCCACCAGTTCCTCAGCTTTCTTTCTTGAGCCTCTTCAATCCTTTCTTGCCGTGCCACTGTCAGCTCGCCAGGCAACAGATGTTTCTTCTCGCTATCAATTAACACTAGATCTGGTCTCACTCCAGACACAATAAACTCCACTGGAAGTGTAGCACCAACCAACGCGCTCCCCTTCCTTGAGTCCTCAGACATGGGCTTCTGCCATGTGTCAGTCACACCTTGCTTCCGGAAGTATATAAGTATTGAATTTTTTTTTTAAATAAAAATATTGTTGATGTAAAACTATATATTCGTTTGTGAAACTTAAATTCAAAATAAGAGTGTGCGTTAAAAATGTGGATGAAACGAATAACTAACCTTTATATAGCGGTTAGGCATTAATGCAGGATAAGTCAGAAGAAAATGTCGGATAATTCCGTTTCATCGCTAAGTCCCGGAAATCCCGGTTTACTTTCAAGCACAGATGAGAAATGCGCCGAATTTGATTGGATAATTACGAGATCAATCATAATGGCAGCGGTCTGATCACCTTTGACGGAAACGATCGGCATTCTCTTCAAATTACTTTTCTTATCACAACGATAATCTCTTCTTAACTCTTAGCAGGATTGTTCATTTCCGAGGCGGCAATGCTTGAAGGTCAGGCTGACATGGAGTAACTCTGCAGTCGGTAAATCAACCTGTATGAGCTCTTAGTTGTGGAATTTGTAATTGCTTATTCGGTAAAGTAGCAAGAGATGAGAAGAAACCATCCCCTTAATAGAAAAAGAAATCTGGGAAGACTGGACACTCCCAGACTACATCAAAGGTACAAAAGAAGCCGAGGAAAACAGCGTGTAACGGACGTGACAATTTTGAGTAAATAGATGAACAAACAACGCCATCAGAACTCATGATGGTGTAATTTAACTGAAGGAAGCTGTAGAGATCCATGATCGATCCTGTCCACAATGAATAAGCCATATAGAAATAGTGAGGAAATTGAATGGTCAAAGTTGAGCAAATGGTTTGGTAAAGAATAAAGGTCCAAGTGAAGCCATAAAGATGCAAGTATTACTGCGAGCAACAAAAGACAGAAAGTTGTGGAGAGCCATTAGCGGTACACGTCCTCAACGAAAATGAGACATAAATTTAGAGAAGGAGATGAACAGTTTTAATTATATATATATATATATATATATATATATATATATATATATATATATATATATATATTATAATATATTATAAGAAACCACAAAAAAACATGTTGAAATCGCCACACAAATGCTTTCATGTTTCAATACTATGGTTGGACTTCCTCAGGCGATAATTGATAACTGGTGATAAAAATGATCTCTTAGGGAAATTTAAAAATTGAATCACTACCTCTTTTAGAAAGTTAAATAGAGGGCCATAAGGTCAGAATTAAAAATATACTTGCGGGGTGTCAAAATGAACCAATTAAATGTACGATCTACGCTAAATAGAAAAATAAGGTCAGAGGGTGGAGGTGGATGAGTTATCCCCTGATGTCACGCCAAAAAAAATTTCGCTTGAAGATGGAACAGAGCTTATTTTAACTCAATTTAATTTAAATAATTATATTGAAGTTTTTGGCTCTTGTTTTGAAACATGAGACTTCTTATATAGCGTTTTGGAATTATATTTTAAATAAATAATTATATTTATGCTCTACTTTTGTATCGAGCACTATTTTTAAAAAAATAATAACTAAAATACTAAGGGACTTTGGATTATTTACCTAACCAGTTCCTTCCTATTTTCTATATATTTTCACACACACACACACATAACACGTATATATATATATATATATATATATATATATATATATATATATATATATATATATATATATATATATATATATATATATATATATATATATAACAGTTATATATATATATATATATATATATATATATATTATATATATATATATATATATATATATATATATATATATATATATAGTTATATATATATATATATATATATATATATATATATAATATTATATATATATATATATATATATATATATATATATATACAAACTACATCAGGTTAATAATAAAACAGTTTATTTTTTATTTTCTTGTTAACCTGATGAATTTGAAATTTCTTGTAATTTAATTTAATTTACAAGATGAAATGATGATCATCAATATTACTGAATAATCCTAATTCCTATATATATATATATATATATATATATATATTAACTGTTTATAATATATATATATATATATATATATATATATAATGCACAATGAGTATATATTCATAAATATAGTCTTTTATCCTCAATTGTAGCACGGCTCGGAGTTTCATGCACAGCGTAAATTTCAGGTGCTGAGTAGAGACTGACCGTTACATAATTTAAATTTTCATAAGAATATCTTGTTAATGCAATGCTGACACAGTCTATATATTGTACGGTGATTACTGATTGAAAAAATATATATTTAAAATAAACGGGATTTATATTCAATATTAAGATATATGGAGATTAATGTAGCAGGAACTACAGAAATGAATTTTTATACATACATATATATATATATATATATATATATATATATATATATATATATATAGATAGATAGATAGATAGATAGATAGGCATATATTCAGTGCATGATGGACAAATTGTCGTCAAACTTACGCAAAAGTAAAATTAATAGTGGTATCTCATTTTAACAAATATATTTACCAAAATTATACAAACATATCTTGAAACACGAAAGAGTAAATTTATACAGTAAAATCGTCATTGGCCTTCAGACAACTTCGAAATATCTTGCAACTCTTCTGGATGTTCACGTTGTTTAAAATAGGTGAATGCTACCATAATCCTTGCTTTCAGTTCATGTAAGAAGGGAATTTGTTTGTCTCTTGTTCAACTGCGCCCACACATAATAATCAAGGGTTTTGCAGTCTAGGGAGCTATGTAGACAGATATAAGGGGGTGATCGCAGCAATTGTCTGGCCGCCAAGACTTGGTTCCCCTGCTTCCGTGGTATGGTGCAGAGTTGCTAGACATAAGGCTTTCCAGCATCCACCCTCTTGACCAAGGGAAGCACTACCTCGTGAAGGAACTTGATGTAGGCCTCTGTGTAGAGACAGACGCCATCACCAACAAATTCTAAAATCCTTTCTTATCAGAACGATCTGAGTGAGTTTTCCGAGCTGCCGTACCTTCCTAATCACAAGTAGATCTTTGCGAATCCTCTGTACTGTCCTTAGCTTTAATACCCAAACAGTTTGAAATGTTCGTATTAGAGCTTTCTTTTTTCTCTACAGGCGGTGCCCAACTGACCCGACTATATTGTGCAGTCAACAAAAACAACGCGCATGCACGAAATGAAAAATATAAAATGTCAATAATTTACCCATTTTAGATAGATAGATAGATAGATAGATAGATAGATAGATATAACAGCCTGAGATAGATAGATATATAGATAATGAACAGCTTGAGATAGATAGATAGATAGATATGAACAGCCTGAGATAGATAGATAGATAGATAGATAGATAGATAGATAGATAATGAACAGCCTGAGATAGATAGATAGATAGATAGATAGATAGATAGATATGAACAGCCTGAGATAGATAGATAGATAGATAATAAACAGCCTGAGATAGATAGATAGATAGATAGATATGAATAGCCTGAGATAGATAGATAATGAACAGCCTGAGATAGATAGATAGATAGATAGATAGATATGAATGGACTGAGATAGCTAGCTAGCTAACTAGGTAGATAGATATGGAGAAACTGATAGATAGATAGATAGATAGATAGATAGATAGATAGATACATACATACATACATACATACATACATACATACAAAGATAGGTAGGTATGTATCATTGAACTTGGATGGGTAAATAAATAGATATGAACAGCTTGAAATAGATATGAACTAAGTAAAATAAATAAATCGATATATATATATATATATATATATATATATATATATATATATTGGGAAAAGATCGAATAAGAAAGAAAGTAAAAAAGATAAAAATAACTTGCAATATACATGAGCAACCTGGGATAAATAAATCTATAAATATATACACATGTAGGAAAATACTGAGACAAAAGGTTGATAGATAGATAGATAGATAGATAGATAGATAGATAGAATCAGACTGAGATAGATAGATAGATAGATAGATAGATAGATAGATAGATAGATAGATGCACAGATAGACGAGGAGCGGCTATTAAATAACGGAACCCTTAGAATGGAATGAGTAAGAATTACGAATAATGTTTTGAAAGGTAGTCTTTCCCACCATTTCTTTTATGTCCTAAGAATGTATCTTCTGGCGTTCTCAAATTGAGTCAGATTCTGTTTAGCTGAGTAAATGTGCTGAAGAAGGAAAAAAAAACAAAAAAAAAAACGAACGAACGAACAAAGGAAGGCATAACAAAAATGTAAACCATCTAATAATGAAACATTAGATGGACGAATGAAAATACCAAAAAAATAAAGATACTAAAAGAGAAAGAAAGAGAAAACTTCAAAAAGTTAAAAATGCAAAGAATGAAAAAAAAAAATGTAATCAAAAAGAAGGAAAATAAACGCAAAAATCCTCAGTCTCCAGGAAATCATATTTCTGTTGCTCTGCCAGGCAAACATTTTTTTCTGGGAAATGGTTTACCGCTGAAATGACATCATTAACAACTCAGTAAAGTATTTTTTTTCTACAGGCCCCTGGCAAAAATTACGAAACGATCACATTTAGAGGACATTCATCAAACGCCCGCTTGTATTTTTTTTTTTTTGTTTTTACTTCCCGAACAAATCAAGTAACTGATATGACAACAAAAACAATTTTGTCCATTCAGTAAAACAGACCTGAAACATTTTAAATGCAATTTGTTTAAATAATGTGATTATTGTATTACACTGTTGTTTCATTAAAGGGGAAATACCGTTAACAACGTTGAATATAGAGGTTCTTCTTCGCCAGTATTCTATATTACCTCGTTGTAAGTCTCGTTGATTCTCGTTTATTCTCGAAGGTTAATCTTGGTAACCAACTCTCGTGGAAACTATGTCCCCTGAGAACTGTCTGCGAATATGTAATGATTTACATAGTGTAACTTAGTATGGATCGAATTCAATTCTCATTTGTAAGTGAAATAGCGACAAAATCTCGCTAACCATTTCACCACGTCAAAGTCCCCTTTGGAAATACGTAGTTATTTACTAAGCGCCGCTTTGAAGTGACACAATCCCACGATAATGATGCACCCAGTGAAGATGAAACTCACTACATCTCGGAATTGTTCCAGCTATTCAAATGCCCTATATGCCAATTACATCATTGGAACTGTCTCTGTCGACTATGAATAAAAACAGAAGGAAAACTTATCTTACGCGGCGCATTTCGTCCTCTGAGGGACTTTATCAACGCAAATGCATAGATTTTATTTTGTAAGAAGTATTTATGCAGAAGAGCATAAATGTTGTTAGTTTTTCAAATTGTTTAAATTAAGAAATGGTCAGATTTATTTATCTGGAAAATTGAAAAGTCAAGGAAAGTTATGGAGTACGCTAGGTGACATAATTTAATATCTACTAAACGGAAGTAGCTAAAACAGGTTCCTAAAGAACTTATGCTAATGTATATTCAAATTATGTTATTTTGGAATTAATTTAATTGACTATAAATATATATATATATATATATATATATATATATATATATGTGTGTGTGTGTGTGTGTGTGTGTGTGTGTGTGTGTGTGTGTGTGTGTGTGTGTGTACAGTAATGATACATTATGGTAATCCGTATGGAATTTCCTGGAGGATATAGAACTAGGGAGACCTCTATGTCAAAAGACAGAGGAAAATTATTATTAATTAAAGAATATATATATATATATATATATATATATATATATATATATATATATATATATATATATATATATATATATATATATATATATATGGACCCAGACCAATGATATCCACATTGAATATATGATATAACGAACGCCTTTTATATTATAGTTCAATATAGGAGAATCTAAGAGGGGAATATGATAATATGACATCCATAAAACATATATATATGAGCGTAATAGGGTTCATCGACATTTCAATATACAACGGCCAAAATAAATAAATATATGACAAAGATGAGGACAATAGTCCGAATAATGTAAATATATATCATCTCAGAAATATAGACAGATACTTATCTCCCTGAGATCTTTTTGCGGAACTTAGGGTTGAGTGAGAAACGCTTGTCTAGAGGGACAGGGAATAAAAGGTCTAACGAACGCCTTTTATACATTAGAACCCAAAGAAACTATTCCATTATTCTGTGTGAGTTCACGATACCGAGGTTAAGGTCACATGGAGAACTTTCTTCTGTGGAAACATTACCTTTCATCATCATTATTTTGACGTGCCATATTGCATATTTATTTCTCAAATCCTTCCATGATGACCGTGACTGAGTGCTATTTAATGCCCTGTCTTATTTTAAGTCACTTCAAGCTCCTCTTCATCTTCTGTGAGATATTTTTCACTGTATTTGCTACTGATTGGCCAGCACCAAGCATCTTTTTATGCCCACATTTTTATCTTGCGATGTATCCTGTCCGCCTCCATTTTATCGTTTATTCAATTTTGTAGTTTTTAACTTAGTCTGTTTTCTGATCCATTCTGACGTCTTTCTCTCTTTTACATTTAGCATCCATCACACTGCCTTTTTTTTTTGCTATTCATCATTGTCTTTGTTTTTGGTTTGTTTTCAAACGATTGCCAATATTATCACCTGTATATCACAGCTGACAGTAAATATTTAAGTTATGGGGTCCAAACCTTTTTTATACAAGAGGACTCGACCAGGGTGTATTTGTACTGATGCCGGTGAATACCCGAGAGGTAGAGTAATCGAGAGAGTGAGAGTGTGAGGTAACCGCTTTGTAGGAGTCACAGTTGCGAGCACGTAGACTCAGAAGGAAGTCATACTTCGATACTGAATTTCCTAGACTGTATATATATTATTATTGCTACTAACCGCATTTCTGGATCTACTAACCGTATTACCAATTGTATTATTACGTCAATACATTTATTTGCTATATTTCATTCCTGCGTTTGTCATTCATTTGAGACCGGATTTCATCCCGGAATCCACAACAATTTATTATAAGCTTGACATGTTATAACTATTAGTAAGGTGGTTTTCCATAAAAACCTAATTTATATAAAAAGCCTCCCTCCTACCGCTATACATTGTTTAATTCCTTTCCAATGTTTTTTTTTCCTTTAATTTTATCAACTCTTCGTAATGTTAACCTTCTCTGTGTCTCCAAGCCCAGTGCCGTGGTTTCGCGTCGTCTCTGGCTTTAACTATTTACATCCAAATGGTAAATCGTAGACAGCATCGACGAGGAACAATGTTCCTTTTTTATCAATTTATCTGGCTTTATTATATGAGTCACAGTAGTTGTAGCATCGTTTTTAGCATAAAGCGAGTGCGAGCTGATCAAGAGTAAGCATATTGACTCAGCGGCAAGCTCACCTACCGTTGGCTCGTCTAACTAAGGAATCTGGGCGTAGGAGGCAGATTTTTTGATCATACATATTTTTCTTTAAGCATTTCACCAAGGCGGGAGTGCCACTAGCACGCAAGGGGTTAAGGAGAGTGGGAGTAAGAGTAAAGAGGGGTGTTTGAGGAAAGGATATAGAGAAGGACGGAGGATCAGGATCAAGGCATCAGAAGATGTCGATTAAATTTGAATAATTCAAAATTATATCTATCAGGGAAGCAAGTAAGAGGAAGGGAGTTTACCTTTCGGGAAGTGCGAGAGGAGAAGCTGTTGGAGTAGAAGAGGTGGTTACATTTAACTGTTTCGACAGTGAAAAGGTGGTATCTGGATGTCAACCTAGTAGCACGCTTAAATTCAGGCAGTTGGTGTATCAGTGAAAGTGGCTCGTTAGAGCAGTTGCCATGAAAATATTTGTAGAAAAGACAAAGGGAAGCGACAGCATGTCTGTGCGAAAGTGACTGTAGACGAGATGCCAGATCAGGACCTATCACATTGCATATCCGCCTCTGGATTTTGTTGAAACTTTAGCAAAGTCTATACATCATTGTCAGATGTCAATGCCTAAATTATTTTCAGACCAGAAGTTTGCCACTCTGGACAAACCAACGTATTCTATAAAACCAATCGCTCGCCCACAATCACTAGTTCGCCCACTAAATGCAAAGCACAACAACCCCTCATTGTGAAATCCGGTGATTGTTCTATACTTAGTCATGTCTTACAGACAAAACCTCTTTCCTACATTTACATGCACACATATCATCTACTATGCCTCACTTAATTGGATTAATTTAATTTAATTTAATTTCCATTCAATAGTTGATTCAATATTTTCCTTAATGATTTATAACGTAAACAGTTTGGTGTTTTTAAAATCGAGCGGTTGGTTTTTATTTTTTATGCAAGAGAATAAACAATTTAGTCTACGTCCGGTTGTTCAAGCTCTTTTGTGTTAGTAAATACGTTTTGAAACTTCGCTGAATACCACTAAATCTTTTTCCGTTACTGTGCAACTGCAGTTTGTTGTTTCACATCACTGACAGATAAATCACATGTAGTGATCACATCTATTTCCTTTATCTGGTCCGACTGGTTTTGATATCAATTGGGAAACAATCAAGCATCCTTTTGCTCCACCTGTTATCCTTTCTTCTTCCTAAGTGTTCCGTCCACCCACATTTTTTGTCAAGTTTATATTTTACTTTATCTGTTTTCTCATCTATTTTGACCTCTTTCTATCTTTTAGAGTTACTATCCCTAGCATTATTCTATTGACCACTGTTTTTGAGGTCTTTCTTCAAACGATTTTATAAATAAATAAAATAATAACTGACAAAATACATACATATCGTCATCCACAGACGGACTCGCAGATCTCCAGTTAGGCTAGACGTCCGATTGCTTCAAGCAGGGATCGAAACCCGACCGATTTGACATCAATCAGAGATGCTTCCCCTAGGCTATCGTCGCATGGTAGAGGGAAAGGAAATTTTTAAGTTTTCTATACGAAATACGCCAGGCCCGGGGAACTCAATTCAGTTGAAGAGAAATGCGTTATTATATATATATATATATATATATATATATATATATATATATATATATATATATATATATATATATATATATATATATATATATAAATATATATATATATATATAAGAGTCAGATAAATTTGTAGGTTTTCTACACGGATCATCAGAATATACTGACGATCCGTGTTGGTGAAACCTAGGTGGGTTTACCTGTCTCTTGACATTTATATTAGGTTTCCTCCACTTAGTGTACTGAACACTTTACGTAGTTATTTTTACTCGTTTTCGAGTTTGTTTTTTTTTTCTCTGGACTCTGGGCTTGAATTCTGGACGATTGTTTTCGCCTTAATTTCATGTTCTTAGTCCTTTCTTTTTTATCCCTCATTTTTCCTTGGACATTGGTTTGTGATTGAACAAACTGAAATACCTAAGGTTTTCCCAAACGATTACCACTATATATATATATATATATATATATATATATATATATATATATATATATATATATATTCGACTCTCTCGTCGAATTCGACGTATGAGGGACAAGTATATCAGTTCCTAGGGACTGAAAAGCCTGACAACAGCACATGAGATTTGATTATAGTGCTGAAGGTTTTGTGCAGAACCATCCACACTTTTTGATGGCCCGAATACAGAAACCTGGTGCACTACGTGCCACAAGGTCCCCAATCGACCCTTCACAGGTTTTGAATTCATGTGTTCTTCTCCTAGACTAGTTGCCATCCAAGGCTATAGAACCCAGTCTGCCCAGCTATTTTACCCATAGCTGGAGGGAGAAGAGGATTCATACCTTTCCCAAGGGTATTAGCACGTGAGTTAGTGTAACGGATTCGACTGGAATTCGAACTCGGCTCTCCGATTCCTCAATCCAAGCCGATATCCATTACTTCACCGTATGTTTTACGCCTATTGCCAACACGTTTTACATATTTATGTAGGGCTCCTTGATAAAATCCAAAGAAGAATCAGCAATATTATTGGTCCTGATCTGGCTTCTCAGTTTCAGTCACTTGCCCACCGCTGTAAGGTTGCTTCTCTGTGCCTTTTCTATAAATACTTTCATGGTAATTGTTTGTTGCCTAGAATTTATGAATCAAAGCTCAATACTAGACCCGTGTCGAGATTTCATCAGTTTACAGTTAACTTGACTATATGTAGCCGTAAATTCTATGCTAACAATCTCTTTTCTCACACATCTCGCTTGTGGAAATCCCTTCCAGCTCCATGCTTTCCAGCCAACTTTAATCGGCAAAAATTTAAATGTAATGTCAGTAGCTCTCTACTGTTTTCCTGATTACTCATTTTCGTTCTCACTCATTAGAAATATTTCTGTTTTCTAATTCTTCCGCACTCAGTAACCCCTTTGTGTCTTAATGGCTTTATTGCCTTGCTTGGAGTGGACGCCATTAAAAAATATGCATTACGTTCTATTAATGTACGTATTCTTATTTCATTCCCTTGGTTAATGCTATCAGCGGGTCAATGTGTTCAACCTTTATGTGTGTATCTGGTCACAGGGACTAGCTTGATCCCAGACACTAGTGCGCGCTCTGATCCCAACAAAAGTTCCCTGTATCCATCGTAAATGCTGGTGACTATTTAATTCTCGGTCATATCTGACTAGAAAACATCAATAGTTTTTTATTCCATCTTCTACAGTGTTTTTCTAAAAACACCAAACACTTTTTTACTCCATCTGTTATCCATCTTTCTACCTGACCCGTTTTGATCATATAATCACTTCATTTGGGTTATCGTCTGATTCATATCAACCTGTCTCATCACCCTTAGCGGCATCTTCAGATTTGTTCTTTCCATAGACTTTTCTCTGTTTTTCAGTTTGTTTTTAAGCGATTTTCTTAATTTCAATGATTACCATTCGTAAGTCACATACACGTTATATTTTATTTACATTAGTAAGTTTCTTGTCATAGTCTTATTAAACGCCTGCCACCTTAGTTTTATACTTTTCTTTATTTCATTTGATCGGTTTTTTTCTTTAATGGTATCGCTTGCTCTAAGTATGTGTATTCTTGGTCCTCCTCCAAGTTTTATTTTTCCTTCTATTTTTGTGATCTTTTTTCGGAACGTTAGAGTTAAACTACTTTTCTTTTATTTCCCTCCATTTTTAAACCAACGTTAATACTTTGTCTATTTGGGTCTTTTAGCATTTCTT